CGAGCAGCGGCCGCTTGGGCGGCGTGTCGGCGGCGCTCGGGGACGGCGGCCCCGGCGGCGCGGCGCCCATGAGGCCGCTGCAGCGCTTTATCTGCTTCTGCAGGTACTTGCGGTGGTTCACCTTCCGCTTGGACTTGCCGGGCTTGTCGAGCGCCAGCTTGATGTTGCTGGACGCCGAGTCGATGAAGCTGAGCAGGTCGCGGGTGGCCTCGCGCACGTCCCCGCCTTCGGCCCCCGACAGCAGCGCTCCCGAGGGCGCCCCGGTCTCCTCGTCCTCGAAACAACAGCCCTTGTCCAAGCCCCCGAAGGCGCCGCTTAGCCCGTCCGTGGCGCCCCCGAAGCCGAAGGGCACGAAGGGGTGCGAGCTGAGCAGCGCCGCCTGCACCGCCATCGCCTCGGCTCCCGGCTGTCAGCAGCGCGGCCCGACAGCCCCCGGCCGCCTCCAGCCCCTGCGCGGCTCGGCTCCTAGCTCCGGGCCGGCTCGCAGCTCGGCCTCCCGGGGGAGCTCATTAGATCTTGTAAGCCAGCGGCGGAGGGAGGGGGCGCGAGGCGACCGCCCCGGTAGCGCAGGGGAGGGGCTTACTTAGCAGACTGGGGGGGGTGGGGTGGTCGAGGCTTTTCTAGTTTTCTTAGCTTTCTCAAGCCTTAACCCTTTCCTTTCCCTATGCCCCGTGGCGTTTGACTGCCTTCAACCACCAGAGGTGAGGAGGCAGCCTGCTTTCAAACTCCTGCACAGTCCCAGTAAAACCACGCCCTGGCCAATGTCCCCTTGGCAAAGTGGGCGGGGGGGTCCACAGATCTGGGTTTCATTCCCAGCTCTGGAAACAGTAAAGGCCACCACCTACTGGGTGTTTGCCCTATGCCAACCCTTGCCAACAGCAGGGAGAATTGCACATTTTGTCACTATTCAACAAAAAGAGGAAACTGGGCCTCTGAGAAGTTCAGTGAATTGGGCACAGCCACATCTGTCCCAGTCAGACGTCAAAGTCATTCCTAAAGTCATGATAAGTTTGGGATCTCCACTGGTCTTGCCTTTCTCAAGAGAGGAGGAAGTTAGTGGTTCTTCAAACTACTTCTAAGATTCCAATCAGTTTCCCTGGGACTCTCAAACCCAAAGTTCTTTCTTTTGCTTGCTAGAAGTAACTACTACCTTATAGTAAATCCAAGACTGTGTACCTGGCCCAAGAAAAATGAGAAAGGAATTGTCCTCCCTACGCCAGTTCTTGTGGAGAGTTGGGCCCCAGGCATATGTACAACTCTCAGCATGTCTTACCTGTCATGTCACTTAGCTTGTCCTTCACACACTTCCATTGCATTTGGATGATCACTTTGAAGTTACCCAGGACCCACTTTTCACCGGACATTCAATCCTGTTGGGACAGAGAAAATGAACAATATGGTGGAGCAAGAACGGTAACTGAGAAAAGACCTGGGTTCTGGTTTAAACCCCACCCTTCAGTAGCCCCAGGACTTGGTTAAAACCCTTGCTCTGCTGAGTATATGGCTTTGAACAAACCAGGCAACCGTACTTTGCTTAGCTTACTCATGTTAAACACAGGTAAGGCTGCCCACCTCACTAGGCATGTGAAATACTTACTATAAAAGAAGCCACCTGTGGAAGCCCTTAGCCTTAGCTGCCCCACATTGTGGCTAAGTATTCACCTTTACCCCTCTGAAACACAAAAAGATGACTATACTCCCTGACATGCATTCTCTGTCACAGGCATTCATGAGGATTAAGTGAGATCACAGTATGAAAACACTGTGCACATAATACAGTTCTCTAAATAAGTTATCATATAGAGTAGGTCACCAAGGGAGAGGGGCAACAAACCATTTCTTCTCTTCAAGCCTCATTTTCTTTCAGCTAGCCATAACAAAGATGTCTGAGCACACTGCCTTACTAAAGAAGAAAGGTTTCGTTTATGAAATGAAGTAGTCACCTGCTCAAATCCATATAGCTGAGTCAAACTTTATTTTTCAAGTCAAGTTGGCTCAGTTCATTTGAGTTCAGTCAGAGATGCCCCAAATCAGTCAGAGAGAGTTACCTAGAGTGCCACAGAGATGCTCAAGATCAGTCAGACACCAAGAGTTCAGCAGAGCTGCAGAGTTCAGTTAGAAATGCCCCGAGGTCAACTGCACAAGTATCTACACTTGAAAGTCCTAAAAAAAAAAACCTTAGTCCCACAAGAGTTGCTTAACTAATGTAATCATAAATGGAATATGAAAAATTCATACACAAAAATCTTCATTTCTAGGCAAATGAAGTTCTACACATCAAAGATGATTTGAAGTCAGATGAGACCAGCTCCAATTCTGGCTCTGCCTATTACTATGGGAGAGTCCTTGGACATGTGGTTCATTTTCCTTACCATTTCCCTTTGTCGTCTGAGAAATGAGAATGGCCATAACTATTCTCATGGCTTTTGTGAAAATTATATGACATAATGAGCAAAAAGCACCTGCAAGGCTTACTTTGCTAATATGTACAATGGAGCTTATCTCTTCATCTGGCACAAAATACTGCTCAGCAAACACCGTGTTCTTGATTTCTTAGGTCTTACTCATTCCATTCCAACATAGCAAGCTGTAAAGTCAGCATCACTTGTCCTTTCTCCCCAGCTGAGCACCTATTTTCAAGTGCAAGAGAACATCTATCCTTGTAGATTATATGAACTTAGAGAAAGCAGAGCACTATCCTGGAGGAAGTGCTGAAACTGTAGTCAGAGACTAAGACTGGAGTACAGTCTTGCCTTCATTATCTGACAATAGAAAACTCATCCTGTAGACTTTGATGTATAAAATGGAAATGGCATGAGCTATCTGATTGAAAATCAGCAAGATAATCGAAATGAAAGTCCTTTGACAGCCTTATGTATTGAGAAACAAAACTTCACAGTTCTGCATGCTTCTCAATGAAGGTAGTCTGTATATGCACATGTGTATCCAGTCACTATTCATTCAGCAGAAAGATATTGACACCCTCTGTGCTTTCAGCATTGTGCTAGTACTGACAGTGAAGAGATTAAAGGAGAAGTTATGATTCCTAATTTTTTTTTCTAATAAAAAGGCAGATGTTCACACAAGCCATTGTAATATGTGACTTAAGTAAATTAAAGATACCAGAGTTGATGGGTTAAAAGGGCCTTCTAGACAGCCCAGAGAAGTTAGGGCATTTATAAGGACAATAATATTAGAGCTAGAATTTGAATGATGTATCCAAGTATTTCAAGCAAATATGCACTATCTGTTAGAGGACAGCCCAGGCAGAGGTGTGATTAAGTGAACACAATGATATTTATGGAAAAGCATAGACGATAAGCAACAAAGAACAACTTCTGCTTGAAATAACTCTATGCCTGAGACCAAAGTAAGTCCTTAGAGCATCAACTATCCAACTACATCATCCATAGATACATACTCTGACTCAAGGCCTCAGTTGCTTTTTCTCTTGATCTCCTTTCCTTTGGGGGAAAAGCTCTATCTGGAATGAAATTGGTTTCGGTCAAGCCAGTGGCCCACTCCTGCCATGTCCTTCAGCCCCTCCTCCTACCCCCTGAGTGAGCACGCTCACTTGAGAGGCTTTGACATCAATACATTTCACTTCCTATAGAGCAGAGAGATTCAACTCCTGCCTGCATTAGGGGCTCTGCAGATCTCCAAACTAGAGCGCTTTCCTCCTAGTGATGCCTAATGCTGAGCAAGTGGGATTAGTCTCCTTGGGAACCAAACCCCCCAGGGGCTCAAGGGCTGAACTCGCCCCAAACCGTTTGGGAGAATTGAGATTTCATATTGTTCTTTTGCACAAAGATCTCAGGACATTACTTAAACAAAAGCCCACCTGAGAGCTGCCTCCTTTTTGTGGGTAAATATAGCAGCAGGATCAAAAGCTGACTTATTTATTTTGTTTTCCCTCTTTGTAACTTTAATCATATTCCCTGCAGGACAATCTTAGTCCTCACAGATGTCAGGAATGCACATTCATAATGAAAGAAATAATTATGCATCTTTTCTCTCTTCCCAAACCAATTTCCTGTCACTCCTTAGGTTTGAAATCTCAAATAAAGCAACTTAATTCCTCACACAATTTATAGAAAGTACCCTTATCATCCTTTCTAATGTATCTCTTGTCTTGTTTCTCATCTTTCCAGCCTGAAAATTTACTGGCATTACATCTTAACTTCTGTCTTAAAATATGGAGTGTTGCGCCAGCAAGATGACTTGGTGGGTAAAGGTGCTTGCCACCAAGCCTAGACCTGAAATTCATCTCCAGGACCCACACAGTGAAAGGAGAGAATCTACTGTTACAAGCTGTCTTCTGACCCCCCCATACACATAAAGTGTGCCCACACATATACACATGTAAATAAATGTAAAAAAAAAACAAATTAAAATATGAGGTGTTATTTCGCTATTAACTAGTCTCCCCCAAATTTAGCCACTCAAAATAGCAACCATATTATCATGTCTTGCAACATGATGGATCACTCATTTGAGCACTCCTGGCTAAGTGAACTTTCTGGTCCATGGGACATTGGCAACAGCTGAACTAGAAGATGCAACATGGCATCATTCATAGGACAACACCCCTGTTAAACACATGGCGGTGTCTCCAGCACGCTGGTCTGAGTACTCCAACTTCTTGGTAGGAACATTAGGGCATCTGCCAGGCGTCTTAATACCTAGTCCTGTAATCCCCAGAATGTCATTCTCACCACTTTCTCTTGGTCAAGCAAGTGTTTAGGGCCAGTGCAAATTAAAGGGATGGGACATTAGTGTCCACCTTTCAGTGAAAGAAATCACAAAGAATTTGGTATAATTTTTAAACGTTTTTAATTTATAGCAGCCACCATCCGCAGTTTGTTTAATTTGTCAACTTTCTCAAGTTCTGTACTGATTGATTGTCTCCATCTCCATGATATCATTTAGCATGTGCCTCTGGTCTCTGTGCTTCCTGTAAATAGAATGTAAATTTAGAAACTTGATCAGATTTATGTTCTTCTGTTTGCTCATATTCTCTCTCTCACTCTCTCTTATTTCTTCCCTTCCTCTTGCCTTTCTTCTCTCCCTCTCTTCCTTTCCCTACATGTGCCATATCATATAACAATTTTAGAATAAAAATGCCAATATTCTTACAACTGCTACAGGTTGCGTTCTCTCTTACCTTTTTTGCTTTATTTGCTATTTCTTTATTCTCAAAACATTTTCCAACTGTTTCCTTAGTTTTAACTCTTCCCTGTTTGGTTATGCCACCAATTCAAAGAACAGGTTCATTTGCTTTACTTTGCTTTTATATTTTTAAAGAATGACTTCTAAATCTTTAATTTTTATTGAAAATTTCATACATGCCTATAATGTGTGTTGACCAAATTCTACCCAGTTCTTTCCCTCCACTTTCCCCTCCCAACTTCAGGTGCTCTCTCTTTAAAAATAAAAACAAACAAAAAACCCCACTTACTGCT